GGAAAAGAACTGTGACAATTTAGCGCTTAATAATATATTCATAAATCATAATATACAATAACAGAAATATAAATACTGAATGTAGTAGACGGTGGTCTCCGGAATTATGTGCCGTTTCGAAGATGATCTTCTTCTGAACAAGGAGGTGTACATAAACTGTCCTTCAACAATTCATTTCTCTTGGTGACGTATTGACAATATACTGTTGATTCACTTCATCATAAAGCTATGCTTACAGCTATGTTCTTAATGGGCTATGGTTGCTGAAGGCATTCAGCAACCATAGCCCATTAAGAACATAGCTGTAATATTGTCAATACGTCACCAAGAGAAATGAATTGTTGAAGGACAGTTTATGTACACCTCCTTGTTCAGAAGAAGATCATCTTCGAAACGGCACATAATTCCGGAGACCACCGTCTACTACATTCAGTATTTATATTTCTGTTATTGTATATTATGATTTATGAATATATTATTAAGCGCTAAATTGTCACAGTTCTTTTCCGTTTTTCATTTGTCTCATCACTGTGCCCATTCTTGTAACTATTTACTGTTCCAGAGCGGGGACAGATCCCCTGTCTCTTGGTGATGGTCTTCTGGTCCCGTCTTCACGTGTTCCTTTTCCCTCCAGTTCCTCTAATCTCCAGAGTACTAGTCAGGGTACTGCAGGAAAAGCCACGCTGTCTCTGAGTGACCCCGTGGTGGCCCCGGCAACATTGGTTCTCCACTCTGCTCCACCTATCCAAGGGCTCCTTCGTAGAGATGATGAAGGCCCGGGAAAAAAAACGTGTTTTCGTGGGACATGAGCTACGTGCCCGATCTGAAATCCCTCCGCTATGGCCTCTCCTCCCTCCCCCCCCAGCTGTTTTCCCCTCTGCCGTAAAGTAAGCCCCAGCTATCAATGGCTGGCTGGGCAGTTTTGCGTTCCGTTTAGTTTCGCCCGTGAGAGGAATCCACCGGGCCTTGGCCTGGCCCACCTTTGCGTTCCGTTTAGTTTCGCCCGTGAGAGGAATCCACCGGGCCTTGACCTGGCCCATCTGGGCTTCTTGCCTTTTCTCCTGGTGCTTGTTTGGCAAGCAGTGGAGGCACCCCCCCCCCACCCCCTCCATCAAGAGAGAGCAGCTTGAGGGGAAATGAAATGAGGCTGCCTGATTTGATCATATTGCACTTTTAGAATGCAGGGTGTTAAATGCGAAAGGGGTTAATAGGTTTTTAAGTGCTTAAGGTAAATTGTGTCATTTAGCTTATTGTCTTAACTGGAGGTCATAATGTAAATGTACAGAACAGGAGATAGTGTCCCCCCCACCACCACCAGTATAGTTAATAAAATTCAACTACCGGTAATCATTCTCAACACTTGTTCGGTGCTTTCTCTGAGTGATGGGGAGGCTGTGAGGTCAGAGACTCTTTTGTACACCTAAGCTCCACCTACCTGACCTGGATAGCCCAGGCGAGCTCGATCTCCTCAGATCTTGGAAGTTAAGCCGGCTCAGCCCGGGCTAGTATTTGGATGGGAGACCTCAAATGAACACCAGGGCTGGGATGCAGAGGCAGGCAATGGCAAACTGCCTCTGAACGTCTCTGACCTCGAAAATCCGACAGGGTCGCCATAAGTCAGCTGTGACTTGAGGGCACTTTCTACCACCACCAAGCCCAACCTGGTATTTTTGGCTGATGTGTGACACAGAGTGTTGGACTGGATGGGCCACCTGCCGGATCCAGCATGGCTTCTCTTATGTTCTTATGTCTGGGGCAGTGATGCTCTGCGTTCTTGGTGCTTGGGGGTGTGGCCTTATGACACACTTCCGGTGATGTCAGGGGGTGTGGCATATGCTAATGAGTTATGCTAATGAGCTCCAGCAGCTCTTTTTCCTACATACAAAAGGACCCCTGATAGTTTGGATACACTA